CATCAGCATGACATTCTTGTTAATAATACATCAACTAAAGTTACTTTTAAAGTGTTTTCTCTTTTAATATATTAGGGATAAGATATATTTTTTCCATAAAGTAAAATATTCAAAACTCAAGAAGTAACAAAAACATTTTACCTAAGCTTTCGGATTTGGTCACCCATACCCGGGGGAGAGAGAGATTGGCGAAAGATGTTTGACATGATAGCTTATACGGTATATCATCATCAACTGGCATGCCCCAATTAATTGTACATCATCATTTTTTTCTCGGAACGAGTCGAGCCTATATATACGAACATACAAGGTGGCAATATGCGATCCAATGTTCCATTCCATACATATGTATATAGTTCGCATGACAAACGTAAAAGGACAAGGAATTGTGGGTGGATAACTTAACTAATTCCTAAAGACAAATTGGGGGACGAGGAAGCTAACATGGAAGCCTAACTAAAGACATGCAACCTTTCACACGATCTAAGGGGAAACGAATAAAGCATTCATATGAAGATTTAAGCATCTTTAGCAACCCTTTCGATTTTGATTGCACATTTATCAAATAATTCATAATAATTGTTCATGCTAGCTTATATTGCAATTTCCAGAGTGGCACTAATACCATGCATATACATTAGAGGCAATCGTACGTAACTGTAACGTTGTTAAATGAAAATAAAAAGGGAACTGTAACTCTGTATATAAGTGTATATTTATGAAGTAAAATAGATAGAGAATATTGGTAAAGGCGGAACCTAGCAATCAGGGAGTGAGCTGGGGGGAATCATGATTCATGATGATATGATACATCATCAACATCAACATCAACATCAACATCAATCACAATTCTTCTAAAAGAGAGGGAGAAAGAAAGAGAAGAAGAAGAGTCTTGTTCAGAAAAAGCAGCATCTGATTCCCTACATGTCGGTTTCCACAGCATCTTTTTCATCTCATTTTAGCTTGTGCTGATCTCAGAAAGAAGAAGCTTTAAAATAAATAATATAATCCCCTGTGCCTCTGAATTCTTGCTTTCAGAAGTTTTCACGCATCTCAAAATATAGCAGAATAATTAATCCAAAATCTTGTGTTGCCTTTTGCTTTTCTCCATGCATTAAATATCGTTTCTACCCTTATTCTCCCACATTGCGACCTTTGTCCTTGTTGAAAGTGGTCACACTCATTACTCTTTTTAATATACTATTCAACAGGACCACCTTGTGATTGTTATTCTTATTCATTTGAGAGTGATAAAAATTACTCTTCAATTAGGCAAAGCAGATCTTCGTCAGTTGTAAGATCTTAGTATATTATTAACGACTTGATGATTACAGTTAAAGCTGCCTAATGCTAGTACATGAGTTTGAGATCAATAATAATAATACTGTTCCAAGTTCCAACTTCCAGGATAGAGCTACCGTCAAAAAAGTTAAAAAGAGGAGTAAATTAATTTATGAAGAGCCGGCCCATATTAGGATGGGCTTCTTGATTGATTGGCGAAAGAGTGTGGCCCAACGGAGAGAGAGTGAGTCAGAGAGCAGTCTTCACTTTTCATCTGTCACAGAAGATCAGAGCAGAGAGCAGAGAGCAGCAGAGAGCGGAGAGCGGAAAGCAGACCCGTTGATCAAAGAAGATCGGTAGTCAATAACGTATTCTCTAATTAACAGCTGCATATACTGAATACTACTAATCCGTCAACGCAGAAGATGGAGTCGGAGAAGATCAAGGTGGCCAATCCCGTCGTTGAAATGGATGGTAAGTGTTGGAAATCTCAAAATCTGTGATTGCGATTATGGAATTCTGTCTGCTTCATCTATTGGAGGAGTACATGTGATCGTTTTTGTTCGGGGATTGAGTGTGTGGCTTGTAATTTCCGAATGTGACTCTTTGTTATTTTCACGCAGGAGACGAGATGACTCGAGTTATCTGGAAATTCATTAAAGACAAGGTAAGCGAGCTCAAATCACCTTTTGTATTTTATTATATTCCGATCCTTAAATCATCCTTGTTTTGTAAATTCCACAGCTTATTTTCCCATTCGTGGAGTTGGATATCAAATACTTTGATCTCGGACTACCTAACCGTGATCTTACTGATGATAAAGTTACTACAGAGAGTGCTGAAGCTACCCTCAAGTATGTCTCTTTACTTTTCATCCTTATAGCACAATTTGTTCTTGTTTTTTCTTCTTCCTGCTCTGACTCTTGTGTTTTCTCTTTTCATGTCAAGGTATAATGTCGCTATTAAGTGTGCCACGATTACTCCAGGTATGCCTTGTCATCATCGAACCTGTCAAGAGTCTACTTATTTTGACTTACTTACCACATTTTGCTTTCGAAATCAGGTGAAGCTCGTGTTAGGGAGTTTGGTTTGAAAAAAATGTGGAGGAGTCCTAACGGAACTATTAGGAACATTTTAAACGGTCAGTTTCTTCTCCTAATTTGAGGGCAATTCGCTCTTTACTTTTCCAAGCTCCAAGGTCATTGCTATTTTCGCAGGTACGGTTTTCAGGGAACCTATCATTTGCAGAAACATCCCTCGCATTGTGTCAGGTTTGTTAACGGCTGCTCTTTTCTATGGTTTTGCCATCTTCATGCACTTGTAACATGTATTTCCTTTCTTCAGGATGGACGAAGCCAATCTGTATCGGAAGGCATGCTTTTGGTGATCAGTATCGAGCTACTGATATCATTGTTAATGAACCAGGAAAACTGAAACTGATTTTCGGTATATCTCCTTATCCCGTTGTTTGATATTGTTACTGAAAGCATGCAAGGTGAAAACCTACCTTTATTGCTAGAGGTAAATCTGGTACCACTGCCTCATCTACAACACACTGTTCGAGAAGCTTTATGTGGAGCTAAGAAGCACATTTTGATATAATCAGTTAACAACTAACACTAATTATCTTTTACGGATGACTCTTACTGGAAGTTTGGGATCTGACTAAGCTATCAACACAAACTGTGCATTAAACAACTTATTGCCCACGAGTTTACTTACATGTGAAAATTTATAGGCTTTTGATTTCTTTTTATTTTCACTCCCTTTTACATTGCTCATCTTATGTTTGCAGAGCCAAGTGGATCTTCCCAGAAGACAGAATTCGAAGTCTTCAATTTCACTGGTGCTGGAGGTGTTGCTTTGGCCATGTATAACACCGATGAGGTAGATATTATTGCAAGAGTGCTTGATATTTTTTTCCCTCCTCTCCTTAATATCTATGTTACCTTAATGGTGGTCCTATTATATTATTGAACAGTCTATTCGTGCATTTGCTGAGTCCTCAATGTACACAGCTTACCAGAAAAGATGGCCACTTTACCTCTCCACAAAAAATACCATCCTCAAAGTATACGACGGAAGGTGTGAATTAACTGGCCTGCATGCTTCTTGTTAGAGTTTCAATGAAATTAACTTGCTATCATGCTGCCCTGACAAGTACAATTTTAAATTGTTTCAAGATTCAAGGATATATTCGAAGAAGTTTATGAAACTAATTGGAGATCCAAGTTTGAAGCTGCAGGGATATGGTGAGATGTGCATGTTATTAGCTACTACATTGTCTTCCAGTACACGAGGCAAACTTGTTTACAAAGTTACTGAATTCCAGGTATGAGCATCGTTTGATAGATGATATGGTTGCGTATGCCATGAAAAGTGAGGGGGGTTATGTTTGGGCATGCAAGAACTACGATGGAGATGTGCAGAGCGATTTCTTAGCCCAAGGTTTTCCCCTTAAACTTGAGATCTGTCTAGCGACTGCAACTTCATATTTTGTGCTCCCTTGTAATCAAATCTAATTTTGGGCTTGGATGCAGGATATGGATCTCTGGGACTGATGACATCGGTGTTGGTATGAAATGACACTGGCCACAACCGATATATGGTCTTATTCTTGTTGGCATGTTCCCTGTGAATCTTCCTATAACCCAAATGAAACTTTTGGAAAATTTGCAGGTATGTCCAGATGGAAAGACCATTGAAGCAGAAGCAGCTCATGGTACAGTTACACGCCACTTCAGAGTTCATCAAAAAGGTGGTGAAACAAGCACCAACAGCATAGCCTCCATTTTTGCTTGGTCCAGAGGCCTTGCCCACAGGTAGGAAATTTCACCCTTGAGAATGGTTGCTAATCCAGTCGCTTGACTGCAAATAGATATTTAGTTTGTCATGGATTGTCTGTAGCAAGGTTTTTGTATCTTAAAAGATGTTTTGCATGTGTGATCTTACCAGGGCAAAGCTGGATAGCAATGCTGCACTGTTGAACTTTACGGAGAAATTGGAAGCAGCGTGTATGGGCACGGTGGAGTCTGGAAAAATGACCAAGGATCTCGCTCTTTTGATCCACGGACCCAAGTAAGAGTTAAACCACCAAAAAGATGACTTAAATGTTCAAACACTGGATTGATAAGTAAATTAGTGTGCATTGTAAATTTGGGCAGGGTTAGGAGGGATGCTTATGTGAATACGGAAGAGTTCATTGATGCGGTGGCATGGGAGCTAAGAAGGAGATTGTTAGGCAGCTCCAGGTTGTGAGGAGAAGATGTATGTGTATCCGAAAAGCAATAATAGTCCTTTCCAGTTTCCATCTAGTAACACACAGTATACGTGTTGAAAATAATGGCAAATGTGTTTGGTCCCCGAACCCAATGACTTCATGTATCTTAAATCCTTGGTTGAATTTCTCTGCATCTCTTGTGTTGTAATGGCTGCTTTCACTTGGTAATTTCTCTATATGGGTTTGTATCGTTCGTTACTCAAGGCCACAAGGCCTCAAGGGTGTGGTGAAGAAATGAACGGCTGAGCTTAATGCACTTGCCTCTTGCCTCTGTCTGGGTTGGTACTAAATATTGTTTGTTTTTGTGGCTACCAATAAAAGAATCCATCTGAAGCTGTTGGAGAATTGAGGTTGCAGCCTATTTGTTTATGCGCTGAGAGACAGACTAGTATGATGTTCTTGTGGGTCTAAGAAGAAGAAGAAGAAGAAGAAGAAGAAGATGATACTGATAACAGCTCCCCGTTTCACCACTTGCCCTCACCTTCTCCTCCGCCATTCCGATCATTCTTCTTCTTCTCCTCTTCGCTACAAATCGATTAATCGGAGCAAAATTTCTCGTTCCAGAAGCGTCTCCGCTGCCTCCTCCTCCTCCTCTTCTTTGTTGCCGCAACCGCCGCTTCGTCCGGATAAGGCGTCGGAACTGAGAGCTCTGTGGAAGCGATTCTGGAAAGTCGCTGCTCCTTATTGGTTTTCCGAGGATAAAGATTAGAAAAAAAAAGTCATTTCATTTTAACCTATGATATTACATATTCAAATTTAATTGCATACTATAAAAAAAAAATGTATTCATGGTTGGATCTATTCGAGCAGATAAACATATAATAAATAGAAAACTTTTTTTTAACAACTTTACTTTTTTTTTCATCTATTTGCATTTCATTGTTCAAAAAAATATTTGCAGAAAAGAGATTGATTTTTACCTATTTTGAATAGAATATTTAGAATATCAGTGAATTGCAGTTGGTAAGAAAACCTGTGTTTTTTTATTTATTAATTTTGTTTATTATTAAAATAAAAAAGAATGCACAGATATATATGCCTCTTTTTCTTCTTTTATTGTGGTACAGTTCTATTTGGGACAGCACATGCTGTGCTCTATCAAAAACAAAAATTCAATTTTCTCTTCAATGTATTCACTGAAAAATTGAAATACAAAAATTTATTGAGAATTACTCCCCAAAAGCATCCCTAGAGAGATAAAATACCCCATTATAGAGCTGTAGCTCTATAACACAACGTAACGTATGTTCTTATTCTGGGGTTTACATATAGTCATCATTACTGTTATAATTGAAATTGAAGAATATTTGTTTTTAATTGAAAAAAACTCAATATAGATTTAGTTAGAAATCCATTTATAATGATTTTATTATATTATTAGAAATCCATAAATGTAGATTTGAATTCAAAAATGGTCATGAATTTACAGTAATACAGTCAATAGTTAATGGTTCTGGTTTGTACTGAATTCTAGATGGCCGAGTGGTAAGGCGGGGGACTGCAAATCCTTTATTTTGTGACTGAAAATCCATATATTTTTTTCGGAGTTGAAAAAAACGAGAAACTTTAAATCTAGTTTCTATCGTTTTGGCGGCATGGCCGAGTGGTAAGGCGGGGGACTGCAAATCCTTTTTCCCCAGTTCAAATCCGGGTGCCGCCTCAACAACAGACTTGAAATCCCCTATTATATATAACATATAACAAATGTAGGAAAAGACTCTTGATACTTTATTTTCGTAATTTTCAGCCCCTGGCTCTCGAGGTTCTATTCTCTAACCTAAAGTTTTGCCTATCAGATTCACGGAAAACTTAAAGTAGTGGAGAGAAATCCGTCGGAGTCTTCAATTAGATTGGATAGCCAGAGAGGGAATTCAATTAATAGTTTTGGAAAGGACCTAAGATACTTTGGATACAGACTCATGAAAGTCTCGGAATGCTCAGACATTCAATCAATATTAGATTAGATGATGAAGAATTGCCCTTCGTTTTACTTCCAAAAATAAAAAACGATAAAAAAAAGAAAAAGTCTTATTTTTTCCACATGTGAGTCAGATTCCTTGGATACTTCGAAAAGTGCCTGTTTACTTGTGTTTCCATCTTGTCGATTCTACTAGAAATTCTATAATAAGAATAACTCATTACATTAAAAGATAAGTGGATTTTTTGGAGTAGTTCATCAATGGTGACCAAATACCTCTCCCTTTTTTTGACTCTGCACCAGTTATTTCACTATTATTAGTGAACAATAATGGAATAGTTTCTTCATATTCATAGAAATAGGGGACAGAATTCACATGGATATAGTAAGTCTCGCATGGGCTGGTTTAATGGTAGTTTTTACATTTTCCCTCTCGCTCGTAGTGTGGGGAAGAAGTGGACTCTAGAAGTACTCCTAATTGCGGTAATAATAAAACTCTATCAACCTGTATCAATTATTTTAGTTTTT